AGGCAAAAATGTACACAATTTACCTCTTGTTTCGAATGTAGTTATTGAGCTAACACATATTTTGTGTGCGTCACTTGATTTTTTAGTTTTGCACTGGAGCTAATGTAGCTAACAAGTGGCTTAAAACAAGTAGCTAACACCCATCAGTTAAGTCCTGTGAAAACTGCATGCCTAAAACTTCACATACTCATCCCGAACCATGTTGAGTTGTTAAGTAATCTCAGATAGATTTTCTTATGTGACTTCTAACATAGTGTGACATATTGTTGTCTATGAAATGGACAAAAGTATGAACAAATTCAGGTTTCAAGATGGCTACTACTGCTTTTAGGTATGCATGTTTTTGTCCATTTAAAAAAAAAAAAGGTGTAAATATGTTTTTTTTGTCCAAATACACACACTAAGATCTGCACATATTCTATTCATCTACACAGGTTCCTAGTATAAAATTTGCTAGTTTTTTTCAAAATCCTCCACAGCCTCGCCCCTGCTTCATCCTGAGGCCCTTCATTTCTACAGCAGCTCTCAGATCCTCCTACTCTTAAAAATAAAGGGTTGTAAGTGGTTGGTTTGGACATATGGTTCTAGGAAAAACCATTAATTAGCTTAGAGCAGCGGTCACCAACCCTCCTCCTGGAGATCTACTTCCTGCAACCTGCTTGGAATATGCTTCCCTCTCCCTTACCTAACACTAATGCATCTGACCAGCCAATCAAGGAATTCTGAAGAAGTTAATTAGTGGAGCTGGTGTGGCAGGTCATGGTTGGAACAAGACTGTGAAGGAAGGTACATTGTCAGGATTATTAGATTGTATGAATTCTAACAAGACCATACAGTTCTTCACACCCACACAAACATTCTTCACCCTCATATATCTCATTTACAAAAATGATTCTTTGAAAGAGGACCATCTATTATATTAATGAAAGACTATGAGACTAACATCCAGTGAAAGAGCCACGCATTCTATGACAATGCTTTGTACAATCATTTTTGACATCTTTATTTTTAGGATTATAGACATAACAAGTACAGTAACAGGACCTGGTCCTGGAGGGCTGGTGCCCAGCCCAGTTTGGAGGTTTCCCTACTCAAACACACTCACCAAACCTGGCATTTAAAAGATAAGTGCAATCAGGTGTATTTCAGCAGGTAAAACACCAAACTGTGCTGGACAATGGTCCTGCAGGACCAGAGTTGCGCACCCCTGGAGTAGAGCGATGCCACAGAACATGGTCCCAGAGACCCTGCAGAGTTTAGCTCCAACCCTGATCTAACACAGCTGATCCAGGTGATCAAGGCCTTTGGGGTCTTCTGACTATATGAGCCAGAACCACTTTTGGTTCCTTAAAGAACCTTTCAACCTAATAATTATTTCAGTAAATGAGACATGTGAGTGTGAAGAACCTCTTTAAAGTTTAAAGAACCTCCACATTATGTAAAAGCCCTGTACCAATAACAGTCTTTTCCTAGGACCGTGCTCCAAGAACTTTTTAGGAATCTTTATTTTTAAGAGTGTCTCTCATAATAGACTCTGCATAAACAGAATATTACTATTTGATTATGCTTGCACTCACCTGGTCCAGAGTAAGCCATGTCCGCTGAGTCTGAAATAGGATGTGCCAGCAGTGGGCTGATGGAGAGGAGGAGAAGAGCCCAAGAGAGGAGCATGTTACAGATCATTTCTGCTGCAGTGCTACCTTACCAAACCTGCGCTGGTCCACTTAGAGGAGGAAAGGCTGTGGAAGTGTGGCAAATCAAACGGACCCTGAGGTTATATACACCCCTGTTCTAAAGCCCCAGGCTGAATGAATCACAGGTTAAGTGCATCACCAGAGTTTTATGAGAGCCTTTTGCATTTTGAAGCAGTTGGACGGTGTATATGCGTAAAGGAACAGGACAATAAAATGAGGATGGGCATTTTATGTATTAGGCTTGCTGCAGTGGTTTACCACTGCCAAATTTGATTGACTTTCTTTTTACTAGATGCATAAATTGAGGGGCACAGGTGTCCAAATGTCCCTTTATCAACACTCATGAAAATATGGTGAATGCTTCTCTTAGTCAAACAATGACCCCCCCTGTATAAGGTGACTATTATAGTAGCTGGTTATAGAGAACTATAGATAGAAAGATATTGTATTTAGTCTTTACCATGTTTTGTATTTCATTTGGATATTTTCTACAGGTAGATAGATTTAAGTTGTGATTGCATTGGTACCAAGAATATTATTATCTAATAAAAATATTGTCCAGACCATTTGACATTTGCTTTGCAGTTTAATATTACAGTTACTATGTAGTAAATTTTCCTTGATGCCTACAATAAATGTATTTATATCTATACATGCAATAATAAGAGCCACAACTAAGATGAGGCCACCGAATAATAAGCAGATAGAAGAGGTGGCCAGAACCCTGTTTAGTGAATTTATGACGTGATACCCACGTCTTTGTTCCCAGGCTTGTTCACTGCCTCTCATTTGTCTATCAGAGACCAGCGGAGGCGGAGTAATGCAAATGCAACATTTGCACTGAAGGTACACAGTGAGCACTCAAGAGGTTTGAATATAACATTACTTTTCACTCTGGCACATTAACTTTCCACTCTTCTTGATGTTTTAGGCCCATTTGGTATCTGAACATATTTGATGCACATAATTTGCCCTTAATGCACATTTACAATAACAATTATTGTATTTACATGCTAAAAAAAGATGGTTCTTCAAGGGTTCTTTGGCAAGGAAAATGGTTCTGTATAGAACCATGACCACTCAAACCACCCTTTGCATGATTAAAGGGTTCTTTGCTTTGTGAAAGGGTTCTTCAGGTTGATGGAGAATGTGCTGTAGATGGTTCTATATAGAACCTTTTCAAAAAGGTTCTATATAGAACCATCTACAGTACGGGTGGGCAACATTGCTATCTTGATAAATATTGTCACTATCTGCTTTTCTGATTGGATATCATCAGTACTTAAAGAACACTGACTGCATGTTTTGTTACAAAGTGAGCATAATCAGACCTGTTTAACTGGATTTAGCGCAGAAGTTAATAAAAATCATTGTAGTTGTAGCTTGTATTATTTTAGTATTTGTATATGTGGCACTACAGGTTCTATTTTGTTGTTTTGTGATTCATATTTTGTTTTGAGAAAATGTCTTGAAGTATTGTGATATAATATTTTTACCATATCGCCCACCCCTATTCTACAGTATATTCTGGAGAACCCTTTTATAATGAAAAGAACCCTTTAATAATGCAAAGGGTTCTTTGAGTGTTCATGGTATAGAACCATTTTCTTTACTAAGGAACCCTTGAAGAACCATCTTTTTTAAGAGTGCAGGGTTATATTATATGTATCACAGAGGAATCTGCACAGTCTGTAATGATAGTCTACTGTGGAAATTCATTTGGACTCCATTATCCATGTGGCTTAAAGAATGTTTTCCATGACACCAGTAGATGGCAGAAAATAATTCAACCACATCATCTGAGGGCAAGAAACATGTAACTTTTGGAAGATTTCACTTTCATGAAATGAACAATGTGCTTGTGTGTAGGCCTGTACACATACATTTTAGTTTTAGAGGTAGGAAATCGTTGGGCCTCATTCACCAGCTGTTCTTAAGAAGAAATTCATGAAGATTCTCACATTCACCACTGTTTTCTTGTTTTTGGGGATTTGTTCTTAAAATTGTAAAAACAAAATCTACACACACTCAAGAGCACAAAGGTGCGAACAATTCTGTGGTTTAAGAACACGTCATGAATCTGACATAGACTTTTTCTTAGGACCTTTCTCAAGAACACATTTAAGAAATAAACTTAAGAAGATATTGGTGAATGAGGCCCTCTGTTTTTATGTGCCAACTGAATCTTAAATGTGTCCGACACTGCATGTTTCCTACCTATAGGGCCAGTTTAACTCATCAAACCAAGATTAGACCTAAAGCTATTTTTCAGTCAGTCCTAGTTAAAGATGAGTAGTAAGTTACATTTACTCAGTCAAGTACAAGCTGGATGGATATATACTTCCCTGGATATGTTCAAACCATTCTCTTCTACTCTTCTAGTACATCTGTGAGGAAAGTCATCTACTTTTTGGTGTGTTTATATTCATTATGTTAAGTTGGTAGCATAATTAAGCATCTGTACACACACACACGCACACACATCTTCTAAGCCACTTATCCTTCTGGGTCGCGAGGGTGCTGGAGCCTATCCCAGCTGTCATCGCCCTGGATATATTCAAACCATTCTCTTCTACTCTTCTTGTACATCTGTGAGGAAAGTCATCTACTTTTTGGTGTGTTTATATTCATTTTCTTAAGTTGGTAGCATAATTAAGCATCTGCACACACACACGCACACACATCTTCTAAGCCGCTTATCCTTCTGGGTTGCGGGGGGTGCTGGAGCCTATCCCAGCTGTCATCGGGCGGAAGGTAGGATACACCCTGGACAGGTCGAAGCATCTGTACTGCTTTACAATTTGTTACACCTCTGACTTGTGCAGGTTTTAGATTTATTTTAGACCAAGACTGAATTAAAAGGAGGAGAAAATAGCCTAACAAACTTCAGTTCTATGATAGATGCTGGATGTATGACAGCAAGAAGTTCTACAGCAATTCTACAGGTTATTCACTTCCATAGTATTTTATAATTAGGTGTTTTTGTATGTACTTTTATTCAATTGTTTTTGGAAAAGTACTTTTAGAGTCATTAATCTATTTTTGAACTAATAATAATTTAACACTTCAGGCCACTGGACCCACTTCTAGACCTTGTACAACAAGATATAATAGCTCTTTATTCTGGACTGTCCTATCAACCAGTGGACGGCACGCTTTGGTGTAATTCATAACCATGTTTGACTGTGACTTGAAATTCGCTTTAAAATCCAAAAATATTGTTCCTTGTTAACTGGGGGACATTAGCAACAAAAGCAGGCTAACTCCTGGCTAACACCTCCTGTTGCAGAGCAGTAGGAGTGATCGAGTTGCCGGGAGGAGGAGAAGTTTGTCCGTGCTGGCTTACCATCCGTCCCCCTGGCAGCTTTGTTTCATTGACAAAAACAGGGAAGAGTTTCCAGCATATCTGAACGCGGTTTGTTGTCGGCGCATCGCTTCATTCGTCGCTTTTTCACTCATGACTGACCACAAAAACGCACTTTAATGAGGATTTATTGATTTCGAATAGACTGACTGCTCAACAAGTACAGCTAATTCAGGACTTCGACGTTTTACAAGAGTTACCGGGAAAGTTGTCAGCTGGACACTCAGGTAAGATACATGTTGCACTTCTCTTGTCATTTCTGAGGGGAAAGTCCACCTAACTTCGACTCAGCCGACTCTACAGAGCGAATAATCTCTGATAGAAAAATGAAAAGTTGTTGTGAGGTGAGGAGTTATTTCCCCTCAGGAATGCGGAATGGAAGCTCGAGCTCATACTGACTGAACGCGTTTAAATGTTTTTGCTTTTCTTTCTTTCTTTCTTCCTTTCTGTATATCACTCGTTTGAATAAGCTTCACTTTCGACTGGTCAGCAAGCAAAACTTCACTTCCCAACATTTACCTGCTTCACATTAGCTTTTTTCTAGTACCATTAACCTGGTTAACCTGGGGAATGAAGGCTTGTGTCCAGTTTCGAGCAGCTTCTGTGCGGCTGACTGATTCGATGTTGCCACATTTTAAGCACTTAGCTTAAATCTAATATATAGTTCAATTTTATGTTAAATATATAAGAAAATGAAAAAATATTGAAATGTTTTAATCAAAAAAAGTGTTTATTATGCCTATATTTTGTCTCCTTTTATAAAAAAAAAATACTCATTTTATGTTTTATCTATTTTTATATTTTATGTATTAGATTTTAAGTGCAGTTTTTAGTCACTGTCTGAAAACCGTGTTATCCTATTTAATAAATTAGCTTCATCCACATTCTAATGTAATTCCTAATGTCTTTATTGACCAGTTCTCACTTCTTCCACATAGGATCCTCCTGTCCAGTCTAGATTGAGGCCCACAGGACGATCAGCCTTGGTTGCAGGTTGTTTTGCTGGGGCCATGAGGAGTCATGGCGGAGCTGGAGGTGGACCAGAGTAGCTTGCCCAAGGTTGAGGAGGGTGAGAAGACATCATGACTGTTTTATGGTTCTATTTCTCCTACAGATAAGGCTACACAGTAAACACATATACCTCTGTTACCTCTGGACTGAACACATTACTCACAGATGTCTTTCTGATGTCATCCTCTGCAGTCATAACAGTGGGGCAAAGTGGCATGAGGCATGAATGTGACTGATAAGAGTGTTGAATCTGATCAACATTCCAGGTGCATTCCCTCTCACTTCCATTCTCAGAGGCTTAACAGAGTCTTTCTTTAAAGACTACCAAATCTGTATCATTCTTAGTGAAACAGTTCTGCATAAAGGGTTTATGAAGTTGTCTGATACATTTTTTTTTATGATTTTGGCAAAAGAAGCTGAAGCCCCTGCTGAAAGCATGAATAATATCAAAAATAGTTAATTATGACTGTCGTGATTACTAGATTGAAATGGTTCATTCTCAGTGAATTGAATAAGTGATTGCTTTGTAAGTTAGATAAACAGGGAATTTACAGGTCATTATATAGCCACGTTTAACATTCTGAACATTCTCCATGAGAGGGAGCTACTAGCGTTCAGATTGCTTTAGTGTGCATTACTGAAAGGGAGGAAACCCATACCAGCAGGATCTGACGAATTTGTATATGTTTGTAGCTACACATTTCATGTGTATGAAGTGCAGTTCAGTTTTTGCTGTTATAAATTGCATGTATATATGATTACTTGTCAAAATAATCACTGTGACAGACTATAATTAATATTAATATGCATATCATGACATGCCTGTAGTTGAGTATTTGTGTCTGATTACTAGTGAGTTTTTACGGGGGTGAGCTGTGGTGCCTCTTGTCATAGATGTCTTTTACTGAGGGGAAAAATGGGAGATGATTTCCCTTTCCGTTCCTTTTTCCACAGACAATGCACTCATTGTGTGGTGGCTTGCATTTTTACAGCTAACCAAGCATTAAAGGAAGGAACAAAGCTCTCATCAGTCTGTAGCACATCACTGTCTCTGACAATTAATAGATGACCACGCTGATATACAGCATTCACACGTCCATGACTTGCTCTGTTCGTTTCTTTCACAGCGATGAGTCACCGTGTTTATTTTCCTTCCAAACGTTTATCCAAAGACCTCTCTGATAATTTATTTGGCCATTCATTGCTTATTTACACACCATTTCCTGAACGTGTGGCATTCCCGTTTTCTCATCCTTGCCTCTCTATCTCCTCCTCTTTCTTTCACGGTTTGTTTGCTTGTTTTTAACTCTTGCCTTATCAGTTCCTGTGCAATTGGTGTTTCTCTGGCAGTTTTGCTGATGCACAGTGATGTGTTTTGAGGGAATTCCAGTCTCTTGAGGAAAAGCAGGCCTCTTCCTATCAGCCTCTGACCTCAACCCCTGGCATTGACCCTCCTCATATGTCCGCTGAGATGCCTCTGGCCAGACTGGTATTTATATCTGCCTGCTGGGACTGACCAGACTATTCTTTACATCAAATTGCAGGAAGAAGAAAGTGGTGGTGGGAGATGCATAGAGGGGGGGAAAAGCAGAGATTTGGCCTCAGAGATGGTCAGGATGGTCGTTTTCTCTTTCTGTGTGTCTCCCCCTTCCAGTCCGTCAGCCACTTGGCCCTGTTGTCACAGTTTTAGTGTCTTGCGGATGGACTGAATTGAGTTGTCATCAACAGCTTGTGCTCGCCTTCTGTCAGGTTGTGGGAGAACAGCGCCCTTTTTTTCAAGTTGAAACTAAGCAATGGAGTCATTGAGCTTATTTATGCTTGAGCTTAGTCATTTTTTAAATAATGGTTTTGGTTATGTCCTACAGCCATGAATTCAGCTGTTTATGCAACTCTGAAAAGCCAGCAAGGTTTGCGATTCCTTTTTAAGAAGTCCTAAAACCATGGAACATTTTTTTCCAGGCATTGTTGCATGTTTCTATTTGGTTTAGTCTGTTTAACAAACAACCTCTTCATTTGTGTTTAGTGGTTTAAAGGAATATTCCAGCACTTTTTGTAATCAAAGTGGTCCTTTTTACCTTGTAAGTTTATGTCCCTGATCATATTAAGTACTGTTTATTATATCTTTTTATTATGTTGTTTTTCCTTAATCCTCCATCAAACTGTAATGACTTTTGACCGTCTCTAAAACGTCTGAGAAATTTTTGATTACATCACCATGCATCAGTAGGGAAAAATAATATTAACCACTAATATCATATTCAGCTGCCCCCCTCCTGGCCCCTCACCCTCACCATTTTCACTGCTGACTGAGTGAAACACTCAACTAATGTTAAAGACCCTCACTGTTGGTATTAATAATAATAATGCGTTTTTATTGGTAAGGTACGTTTCAGTTAAGTGTGAATCTCAAGGTGCTGCAAGGATAAATGCAATAAAATGATCAAAGTCGTACCATAACATTTAGGAAATTAAAGCCAAAAAGTGTTATAATTTCTGATTCACATTGACTTCAAATCTAAACTCTGTCCGCTACATATGTAGTGTCCAAAAATTGCCCAAAAAATTGTGTCCAAAAAAAAAAAGTGTGTCCAAACTTTACACAAGACAAAAACATTCTTGAGTTTTAAAGAAATTTTATTCCAAGCTGTTTTGAAGCATTTCTATTGGTGCGTTAAACATTACATTTTCACACAATCTAAAGGGCAGATTTTTTTTCAGACAGTAATGATGTGGTCATTGTAAAATGTGCTTAGATAAAATAGAAGTGTGTTGTCTTAAAAAAAGCTTACGATTGAAGTCACTGGGCAGTTGAATTTCTAATAAGTAAGTTTTGACTCAATAAGCTTTGTGTTCTTTTCAAAAAATGGGGAAACGTGTCAAAATGATTGTCCGTGGTATCTGAACATGTGCTATTGGCCTGCTTTACATATTGCCTCGCTTAACCACATTTATTGCAGGCTGTTTAAGTTTTTATGTCTAACCTGATGAAACCTGCATAAGGCCCTCCTCCTGCTGACTCCTCTCAGTGTAATGTGAGTGTGTCTGTGGGTTGGGCTCCTGTGGAAACTAGTTAGGCCACTAGCGAGCCACACCCTCTACTTCTGCCAATCCCCTGCATTTAGACCTGCGGCAACACTTTTGCAACCAAGCAAGTCCTGCAGGCTGCCTGGCCGGATCACAGCTAATCCCATCTTCTGCACGGCAAGGGGCGGAAAGGCACGGAGGCTTCGGTTCTCCGGCAGGTGGCTGATCCACTTAGCCGGGTAATGTTCCATTAGCAAGGCAGAGCGTGATGAATAGGATTCTTTTAATTCAGGCCGTCACCAGTCCTCACCTTCTCTGTCAGATTCGTACATATTCATGTATAAAACAGTTTGTAATCCGAGAATCAGTTAGTTTATCAATATAGATAACACTGTTTCTACGACCAATACTGATTTCAGCAGAAATTAATACTGAGAATACAGAAAATGATTCTGATCAAATTCTGGCTGAAATATCACAAAACAGCTTGTAGCACAATATATATAAATATAAATATAAAACATAATATAAAGTAAAGCAAGTTGTGATAACAGTAGCCACATTTAGCCTAACACGGGAAATTCGACATTTTAAAAAATTGCTTCATTCTGTCATTGAAATATAAACAAAGTTTTACAGAGTACTTTCATGTGAAATGGAGTCAGAATTGTTCACAGTTGTGGTGATAGGAACCCGATGTCAGAAGAGCTTAATGCCTCTTAAAGCTCCCTCACAGATAATTATTACATGAAATGGCTATGAATGTGCTGCCTGATTACTGAGACATTATTGTACAGTATTGTCAGTACGTTTCTCTACAGTAAACCACTTCACTTTAGACCACTCTGCATTACTTTGTTTAAAGTGAACAGTTTCAGTTGAAAATAGCTCATTTTAAATGTTAGTACTAAGAAATATTGGATCATTATCTATTTTGGTCGGTACCCATGGTTTCAGTTTGGCTATTAAAATAAAGCAAAACAAAAATAGAACAAAAAGATGTTGTGTTCAAATGTGTACCATTGAAGCATCGGTCATGGTCATGCTTTTCTCATAGCAAAACAAAAGTCTCGGTGCAGTCCTGGTTAGGACACTGTTAGAGATTAATGAAAGTGCACATAGTTCAGAGTGCTATCAGTAGAAAGCAGGTGCAGCATGTTGTTTTTACTGGATTAAAGCATTAGACTCTGTGCATCTCTGTCTGGGTGTTGGACTGATGGCAGGCAGCAGAGGAGGGAGGGCTGAGGTGCAGACAGAGTGTACTGTTTGTTAATTGTTATAGCAATATTAGCCCACGCAGTAATGATGTGGCAGAAGTTCTGATATCCAACCAGCTTTCATCAAGAACATTTCTGGATTTTTTTTTTCTAATTGGAGGCCGTTCATGGTGGAGAGGTTAATGAAAGGCAAAAGACAAAATATTTTTTACCACTGTTTTACCATTATGTACATTACATACAGTGCATCATTTCACATCAAACCACTGACTAACTTTGTTTGCATCTCAATGAGGCAATTATGGAGAAATCTTGTAATATTAGTGAAATTCCCCTTTAAATTATGCTGCAATTCCTGACATAGGTCATATTAAAAAAAGTTATTGACCTAACAAAACAATTAAAAGAGCACATTTTACATGAGACTGCACCCCTTCTTGTCTTCAAATTAAAAAGGGCTGTATTTTTTGACATCAGGACCTATGTGGATGATAAAGCAGCTGCAACGAACCAAAAAAACAAAAAAAAAACAAAGACGGTCTAAATGACACTGACCAGCCGCACAGTTTTAATCTCTCCTGCAGCAGCAGTATTGCTGGCACATCTGGAAACATTTACTGCGTGTGCCGACGGAGACAGCGGCAGAGATTTTGTGTGTGTGTGTGTGTGTGTGTGTGTGTGTGTAAGTAAACTAATATGGGGTATTACTTTGTGTAACAGGTGGGCTAAGGCCCAGAGAGGGTTTTCTTATTGGACTGGCCTAGAGAGATGTCGCTCACCATTAGTTTGAGGAGTCTCACAGATGGATCATGCGGTT